TTTTTTTTTTTTTTTTTTTTTTTTTTTTTTTTTGTACGAGGGATCGAACTCAGGCCCTTGCCACTTGCGAGGTAGGCGCCAGAATCACTGAGTTAAATCCCCACCCTTTTTCTTTTTCTCTTTCTTTCTTTTTTCTTCTTCTTCCTCTTTTTTTTTTTTGTACCAGGGATTGAACTCAGGACCTTGTACTTTGCAAGGCAGGTGGCAGAACAACTGAGCTAAATCCCTAGCCTCATCCCAGGGTTAATATGCCAGACTCTCTTAGGTTCCAGATCTCTCGTTTTTAATGTTTTACTAGGGATTTTTAAAAGGGTAAAATCTTTCTTTTACTTACAGGGTAAAGCTGTAAAGACTAAGAATTACTCTGGAAATTCCTACAGTAATTATAGTGAGTTATGAAATCAAAACTTCAGGAACAAATTGGATATTTGTCTCCTAAGATCCTGCAGAGCTATCATCTGATGTACTTTGGAAAAATGCTGCACATTTTCTAATGTTTACATATTATTGTATCATGAGATTTCAATGGCATTTTCTACAATTCTCAATAATACAACAACCACGACCTCTTCTTTTTATAATTGTGTCTTGAAAAACACAAAGAAGAACGTTGAGGCATCAACAAAAAGAGACGACAACTGCATAACTTCAATGATTCTTTCTTTTTCCCTCCTTGGATTTATAAGTATTCTTCTTTCAAAGGCAGTCTTACCAGGAAGTGAAACAATAAATGCCACTTTTTAAAAAACCATCTTACTGAAGTAACCACCCTCTTTCAAAGCTGTCCTGGGGCTGAAGGACGCCGTGGTATTCAGCCTGAAGACAGAAGCTCTGAGCGATACAAAGCCAGGTCACTCCCAGTCTGGCCAAGGGAACTGTTTTTAACTGACCTTTTGTTTTCCATGTGCAATATTTTTATTGGTGTAATCTGGTCATATGTTAACAAATGGCTTCTGGCCAAAGAAAGGATTGAGTGTGATAACTTTTGAAACCTTAATGAGCATACTAATTATCCCAGCACCACATTCCCTGAAATGTACTAAAAATAGGAACAGTAAAGGATTGGAAAGAAAGCAAGCTGATGCCTGGGAAGACCAATATAAAAAATATTCTGTTATAGGCCTTGTGGCCATTATCTTTATACTTCCCTGTACAGAATGATGAAGACAGAGATAACCAGGTGGTGGCACACACCTCCAATCCTAGGATGCTGGGAGGCTGAGGCAGGAGGACTGCAAATTGCAGCCCAGCCTGGACAATTTATTGACTTAGTGAGAGCCTGTCTCAACATAAAAATCAAAAAAGAAGGGGACTAAGAATGTAGCTCACTGTGAGGGGCTTGAGTTTAATTCCCAGTACAAAAGGAAAAAGAAAAGAATCTTCTACATTATGAAAGTCAACTATTTTGGGTAAAGCAAACATATGTTACTGACTGGAACGGATTAAATGCTTGTGCCCCTTCAAAACGTGTACGTTGAAACCTTGATATCTAATCTTTGTAGGCCATTTAGGAGGTAGGTAGATCATGAAGTAGAGCCCTCAGAGTGGGGTTTGTGTCCCTAAAAGGAGAAGTCGGGAGCCAGCGAGTGGTTCTACTGCCAAGTGAGCCTGCAAACCAAAGGTGTCCTTCCTGGAAGCCTGGCCTTGGACTTCCAGTCTCTAAAACCGTCAGAAACAGTGTTTCTTACACACCCGCCCACCAGTTTGTTACAGTTGCCCAAATGGATACTAAAGTGATGCTACATTGATCATTTACTGTTCCATGTCATGAAAAGTAGAACTGTGTCTTAGTAAGAGGCTCCTGAGCCAGGATCGAAGTCACACCCTACCCAGGCTCTGCTCACACAGCCTTCTGGACTCTACCAAACACCTCTTTTGCATCAAGCCCAGAGGGCACCGGTGGCCCTTTTGCGGCCAGCTGTTTAGCACCGCGTTAACTCAGCCTGAGATGGACCTCCGCACCGAAGCCCATGGAAGTGCCATGGCTGCTTGGAGGTTCCTTCTCTTCGACCTTTAAGACAATCTGCGCATAAGTTTAGTTACAGCTCTCATGAACAGTGCTGCTCAGGGAAACTGTGCAGGGTGAAGGTGCTTGGAATCGATCAAGAACAATTTTGGGGCCACAGATTTAGCTCAGTGGTTCTGCCACCTGCCTCGCACGTGCAAGATCCTGAGTTAGATTCCCTGTACCCCAAATCCAAAACCAAAACCAAACAAAAGACCAATCTGGAAATTTCTTTTTAGCAGTTTTGTCTTGGTACCAGAAAACACGTCATTTTCTTGGGTGTTACTCTTTTGTGTCTTGTCTTCACATCAGGTAATCAATCTTGAATAACTTTGAGCTCAATCCCCAGTACAAAGGAGAGAAAAAGAATATTTTAAATTATGAACGTCAACTATTTTTGGTAAAGCTAACATATGTTACTGATTGCACTAGTTTCTGGAAAATAAATAATTTTGTGATGTTATAAACAAAATAAAAGGGACACATTACCTTACCCATTAGAAATAATCTTTTTTAATATATTTTAATTCTATTGCTACACAGTGTACTTGACTGAAGTCACACTGAATGAAATAACTATTCTTTATATTTTAATTTTAATATTTGCTATTTCCTGACAGTCATTGAGAAATCTTTGTACCCATTCACTATAAATGAATGATAACAATTGTAAATGCATATTCTAATTTTCTTAAATCTTCCCTTGTTCAATATAAAAGATATTTATTTTATCCACAATTATAAAGTTCAGTGAACATTTTCATATTCTTGAAAACTGCACTCATGCCATAGAAAGCAGATGCCACAGAAAATTCTAAAGCTGTTAGAAAATGTTTTCAAATGGAGATGCAGAAATTACAGCTTCCATCTGAGCAACAGGGTGGTTATCTGTCACACCTCCGCTGGCTTTCGCTGTGAACAGTGTCAGGCAGTTACTGGTTATCTCATTGTCTTACTCCACACACCATTGTGTAGCATGAACTTGTACCTCACCGTCAGCAGAAAGTATTTCTAGTCAAACATTTCAAAAGATTTCTCAAAATGTTGTATTTTTAAAGGGGAAAGAAATCCAGAAGTCAAGCAATGTCATTTAGCTCGAGTACAGACAATCTTTCCAAGTTGTGCTCGAGATGATCTCAGTACAATCACCTGAACGGTGTGCAGCCAGTCACGGGACAGATGGCATCTTGCAGTCTTTCTGGTACTTTCAGGGGCCAAGTTTCATAATGATGTACATGCCTCATCGTCTCCTAAGAAGCATGCCTATGGTTTGTACAAGGTGATGAGGAATTGGAAAGGCTGTATTCCTCCTCTTTGTACTTCATATTTTTGCCAACACTTGGGCAGCATTATTTGCTTATCTTTTAAAGGCTGTATCTATAGAAATTTTTAAAGCTCTTAGCTCAGCAGAGATGAGAGCTACAGTCCATCTTTAAGTCTAATGTTGCCAGCCAGAGCCTGCAGTAGGTGTCAATGTTTCATCCATTTCTTACTTCTGGGCAATGAATGCGGTTTGCATCTTTCAAAGCCTGAAATGTTTCAAATATCTAATATGAGGTCCACAACTCCAATATTATCTCAAATAATGTGGAAGCTCATTATAAATGTTGAGGTTGTCATGACGCCTGCCTGCACTGGGATCCTCCACAGTATAAGATGTTTTCCGTATGAATCTTAACGTTTAGGGGTCATTTCTACTTATCAGGGTTCCATACTGAGAACCTCCTTTGCTCAGAGCCTTTTCCAACCAAGCAGCTGAGGAAGTGTGTTGGAATCCACTTCAGAGTAAAGGTTCCTACCTTCCACGTGAGCTCACTTCTTGCATTCAGTAGAAAGCTGTTGAATTTTACTTTGAGACATGATGGAGGAATGTGATACATTATACACATAAAAGCAGGTAATCTAGGCTGGGGAATTGTGTCTTTTCAATCTACTCTTGCCTAAAGGAAGGGCTAAAAATCTTGAAGAGGAACAGTCTTCTCCTTACCATGAACTCACTTAGTACTGAGGACCCTGCTAGGAAACCACACTGATGAAATGGCCTGAAAAATGGCCATTGCTGAGCACAATCAGAGAGGAACTCATTTATCTCCTGCTTCTGTACAAATAACCAAGAATTACAGCAATCCATATGAAATGAAAAAGTTCCTGGGGGAATGTTAAGAGGGAAAATTTAACAATAACTATTTTACCCTCTTTCTAGGAAAATTCGCATTAAAATGATATAAAGTAACCAGAGAAGCAGAAAGCTCATCATACTAGGCAGACACACTAAACAGAAAAAAAGCCATCCTGGATATCTGTGATTTGGAAGAAAAAGCATTTTCTGGGTAGAAAGAGCTGGCAGGGGTTGCAAAACAGCATCCACGTCTCAGCACACACGGAAAGAGAATGAAACAAAATCAGAAAGTACCTGAAAGGCATCCTGATGTTCAGCCTCTCGGCGTACTTGCACAGCGTGTCCCAAGGAATGTGAATTTTAATAAACATGATGTCAGGGTTCGCAATAGCTGGCTGTAAAGGACAGAAAGCCAGGAATCATTCTAGAGAATCCAAACTGATGAAGTCCACAGTCGCTGATTCAGGAGGAAGGAGCACTGTCTCCTTGGTTAAGCATGAATTGGTTTTTACCATTTTACAGCTATAGGATTCTTAGTGAAGAAAAGCTATAATAAAAACGTGATAATGAAATTGAAACTGGTGACTTCTGGACACACGCAGACATAAATTCCTTAGATAACAGAGTTTTAAATTGTCTTTCAGCAAAGTCTGCAGGATTGGCTCAGCGACTACCTGCCTGTGTAAAGGAGCCTGGAAACTGAAGCTCAGCAGGTATCTTCTCCCAGCTCTCCTATAAGTTCCCAGGCTGCTACTCAGTCTGGAGGTGGAGTGGAGGTTACCTCCTGTCTCCTTGATGGCCAGTCCTCAATAACAGCTCTTTTTGCACAAGCCTGGTGCCTTCGTACTGGTCTCTACGCCACTTGGGCAGAGTCTTTGACTGGCTGTTATCATCACTGTATACTTACAATAACCACCTCTGCGAATTCAAGAATTTTCTTATGTTGATCATCATGAAAATCAAGATTCCTCAATCAGCACAATTATAAATAAATTAAGAATTTCAAGTTATTCTTAGTGGATACTGTATCACAATGCTCTTATTCAGAAAAGTTAGAAAACCCTGCCAATTGTCATCAGCTGTTCTCTAATTACTTTATTTTTCTACTGCTTTTAATTATGCATCTACTAGGTCCACAAGTTCCTCACTAGGTCTTAGCATAATCCTGGAAGGATGGAGTTTACACATCACAGAGATCCATGACCTCACAGAACAGAGAGCTGAAGACGAACTCTGACCTTTTATTCTGTCACAACCTGTATGAAGACATAAAAACTCCAAGGCATTATCTAGACAAGAAATTTTTAAAGAGACTCACATAAGCACTGGAGTCATCAAAGGAGCATTTTTACTAAATGAGATACTCAGGTGTAATTCTTAGAAATCCAGAATGCAGCTCCACTGGCCATAAATATTTTAAATGTTCCACTATTGTAAGAGTCAGATGCTACTCTGAAGCAGACAACCACCTAGATTTTTAGATCTGATTCAGTGGACTGACACGAAATAATTGACTTATTTGGTCTTACATGTGACTCGCATTTGTAATCTGCCAATTAAATGGTTTAATGCCTGAGGCCCACAGAGTGTGGAATGCATTTGAGGTCCATTCCAGCATCAAATTCCACAAACTTACACTCCCTGTGAATATCTGTGACAAAAGGAGAGTTTTTGGCTTCCACTGAGACACACCTATGAGGTGACACACAACTGAGCTCAGTGTGAACATAGTCATTCATTTAAATTTCAACTAAATTTAACTCCTCAAGAAATGTAGACCTTGAAGTTCGAAATGTAGAAGAAATTTATCAGTCCTATTTAAAATCAAATATGTTTCAGATTAAACTGTAAAAGTTTTATATTCATATGTTCATAAAGCCCCACACTCTAAATTTGGCTTTCTTCAGGTTTGCAAGAACATTTCCAATTTGCAGCACCAACACATCCAGAGTGTGATTGCAGCCATGTCACTGGACTAATATTCAAACCCAGGAGACATTCTGAGGTCTAAGTCCGCTTCTCCCGGGAAAGGAACTTTCATAGATCAGCATTTGCTGAAGGAAGGAAGCAAGGAAGAGAGGGAAGGAGGGAGTGGAAGTAAAAAAGCATCAAAAGGAAGGGAAAGAGAAAGGAAAGAAAAGAAAAAGAAAAGGAAATTCCATGATCACATAATGAAGTTAACTTTGCTGTTTTCACTAATGAACTTCTGAGACATTTTAATATTCATGCACTTGCTGAAAGTATCCGGGCAGACAGGAAAGCATGTGGAATATCTATATTTTGGATCTTCAGTTGTTTTTCTTAATTTACTGAGCTACCAGTATTTTGCCAATCACTGTGGTAAAATGAGTGAAAAAAATTTTTTTTATGTCTACATGAACATAAAGACTTTTCTGACTGGGGGTATATTTATTTCAAATTAAAAGTAAAGGATTATGGAAATTATAATAAAAAATGCCAGGAGTAGACATACTTGTTGTCTCAAATATTCAGTTATTTGAATGTATGGGAGTTCATTTTTAAAATGATAACTGATTAATTTAAAAATTATGTATCTGAAATATTTATTATCTACCTTCAATCTGTCACTCATCAAGGAAAAAGAGATGTTATAATGTTGATATTTCAGATTCATTTGAGTGTGTGGAAAGGTTTCTGTGTAAAAATGATAAACACATAAAGGCTTTTTAAGGCTTGGGGATGTAGCTCAGTGGTACAGTGCTCCCTAGCATGCTTGAGGTCCTAGGCTAGATCCTCAGCACTGAGAAACAAAATGAAATAAATCCAGAAGCTGTAAAGAAAGGTGAAATTGGTCATTTGTAGGAAATGGGTGCATCTTGTGACCACAGTGTAATGAGGTAAATCAGACACCCAAGCTCCAATGCCACTGAATGGCGTGTTCTTTCTTCTTCTTTCCTCCCTCTCCCCTCCTTTCCTCCTCCTTTCCTTCATCTCTTGGGCCCCTTCCCATGTGCAAAAGATCTCTCCATCTCCCTCTTTCCTACTATCTATCTTCTATTTTGGTGTTGTTATTTTGGGTTCCACTTTCTGTAGTAGCTCTGGAAGTTCTGCTTCACGAGCGCCTGTATAAAGTGTGGTGGAAGATAGAGAGGACGCTGCTGCTGAGGGCCACACAATGGAAAGGCAGCTCATAGGAACATCAGAGAGTGGCCTCATCCACCTCATTCACCAGATCTGGCACCATGGACTTCTGGCTTCTCCCCCAAAGTCTAAGTGGCTGTGAAAGGTAAACGTTCGGAATCAGTTGAGGACATCAAGGCAACCAGGGAAGTTCAACCATAGACATTCCAGACAGAGGTCTTCAGATCTGCTGCAGACGGTGGCAAGAGCAGTGGGATAAGCATATCCAAAGCCAGGCGGAAGATTTTGAGGGAATTCATGGCAACACGTCTCCTAATGGAATTTATTAAAATTAAATCTTTACTGTATTTTGGAGTCACACCACACATACAGACATGCTTTCCTTAATGAAGATAGTGTCCCTTCTCAGAACCCCATTTTACTCTGACTGACAGCCTGCTTCTGCCTTCATTTGCGAGGCCTTTTAAACATTATCTCCAAGGCTTTGTCCTCGGTCCTCTGCGTCACTCTCTGCTGCCACTGCTCCACCTTGCAGATGCTGTCTGCCTCTGCCATGACTCCCTTGTGTCAACCTTTGTTGCCGGTAATATGATTACACCCTACTTCTCATGTGGGATCACAGAGAAGTTGATGATTTCCCTGCTTCTCATCCCAGGCTTCTGCCTCTGGGTCAGACTCACAGTGGGCACTCACTGAGCACATGTTCAATGGGAGGATGAATAAATGCAGTGACTTAGTTAAAGACAGATTGTGCAAACATGCACCTAAGCAAGAGATGATGAAGATGAGAAAGCCCACAGCCTGAACCCTTCTGGAAGAGGGCATTATGTCAGGGTCCAAATTAGCATTACAGAGAGCTTGCCAAGTGCTGATTATTAACTCATTACTGTCAATCTCTGGCACAGGAAATAATCCGGTAACCTTAAATAAAAGGCTGCTTTGGAAGGAAAAACCTGAACTACAGTGACTACCATCAATGAGGGAAAAGTCAAGCTAAGCATGTACACAGGTAGAACACTTCTCACTTCATATATATATATA